TATATACACATGTAAAGTGAAAAAATATACACCTAAAAGAAGGTTATTGTTTATTGTGAAAAGTTGAAAAGGATTAATGAAAGATGCAAAGGTGCTGAAGGGCCATTTTTTGATAATGTCAAGAATAGGTCATACGAAAATATGAAAAGTATGGAGTTATGGCAGTGGGAAGTATGAAAAAAGTTGCTAGATGAGATAATGAAGTGAAGGGCTGTGGATGAGAAAAACACAGATTTGCTGCAAAAACTAATGCATACAAATAGCTGCAGAGAATGTAATTAAAATGAAGAAAATGCAGTGATTTTGATGGAAATAAAAATTTGTTTTAGAAGGAAGTGAAGCTGTAAACCAGGACACAGTGTGGATGTAGCTTGTTTATAGGGTGGTTCTGTGACTTGTTTAACTTCTGTATAAGTCTCCATATGTATCTGATTATTGAAAGAATGTTGCTATTGTTCCATGCAAAAGGAAAGCAAGAATGATTGCAAATGCTAAAGGGAGATTAAGTTGTTAAGTGTCTATTAGAAAGTGTTTTGCAGAATTCTGATCAAAATCATAAGACAATGAGCAAAATTGAGGAAGTGGGGAACAAATTTTGGTTCTATTTAGAAGGTAACTGAGAAATGTATTAACACAAACATGAACTTTCCTTTTTCCTTATTTATTCATTGATTTAAAGAAATGCAAAGTGATGTGAATGCAGGGGTGCTATTCAGCAGGTTCTGAAAGGTTCTGGAGAACTGGTAGCAGAAATTTTGAGTAGTTTGGAGAACCGGAAAATACCACCTCTGGCTGGCCCCAGAGTGGGGTGGGAATGGAGATTTTGATGTATCCTTCCCCTGGAGTAGGGTGGGAATGGAGAGTTTGCAGTATCCTTTCCCTGCCATGCCCACCAAACCATGCCCACCAAGCCACACCACGGCCACCACGCCATGCCCACAGAACCGGTAGTAAAAAAAATTGAATTCCACCACTCTGAAAAATTCAGTGTTTTGCATGAATAGAGGGCTGCTTGCTTAATGTAATAGGAGTAATATATAACAGAAGTGAAACGTCTGAGAATAAATGGAATGTTTACATAATAGTTCTTCACTGATTAGTTATGGATAAATGTGTAAGGAATGTTTGTGATGATGTGGGTGATATATTGGTTGTGGACGAGAATGTTAAACTTTAGTACTCTCTATTCATTCATTGAGTAAAGGAAGGAAAAATGGTACAGGCTGAAGAATATAGAGCACGCCTGTAAAACTGGCGGCCTGCGGGCCGGATATGGCCCATGCAGGCCACACCCTCCCCAGCTCTGCAAAGGTGAAAAACATCCTGATACGTCGCGATATGGCCAGCGATGCAATCGGGTTTGACACTCCTGATATAGAGGGATATAGTTGATCACATCTTCAGAAAGAAAGAGGTGAAAAATTAAAATATGGCAATGTAAAAATGTAGCAAACTTAAGTTTTCATTCTTGTAGTTTAGTTTAGTTTAGTTTAGTTTATTTGATTTGTATACCGCCCTACTCCCGAAGGACTCAGGGCGGTGAACAGCCAACAATAAAATACATAAATACACAAAATTTAAAAACCCGATAAAATCAAATTAAATTATTTGGCCCAGACAAATTAAAATACCCCAATAATTTAAAAACAGATTAAAATTTACATATTTAAAAAGGGAAGAGATTAGGCCAAGCCCGCTTGATGGAATAAAAAGGTCTTCACAGCACGGCGGAAGGAGCGCAGACTACACTATCTTTAAGAGATGCATAGTAATGGTATTGATGTAATTTAGTTTTTGAATTCTTTGGCTTACTATTTATTACCAATGGTCTTTATTTAATGACCACTGTCATTCACTGACCATTTGAACTTGTGATGGTCCTGAACTTACAACCCATCCTTGAAGTTCTTGCTTTTGCATTATCCCTGGAGTCACATTCTAGTGATGCAGGTGCTTGGTAACTGGCTTGCAGTTACAACACTGTAAAATGCCAATCACATGACTGCCATTTGCAACCTTCACTGCTGGCTTCTGATAAGCAGAATCAATGGGGAAACTGGCAGGAGTTTGCAAATGGTGACCATGTTACATCAAGTTTAACGACAGTGTGGGATTTGCTCAACGGTGGCAGCCAGAAGTGCTGTTGCCTAGCAGTGCAGTCACGTGACAACACATTCCATGACTCTGTTGCTTAGCAATGGAAATTCCAGCCCCAATTGCCATAGTTAACCAAGGACTACTTATACTCCATTTTTTCTCTGCATAAAGTTGCTTATCTTGAAAGGAAATATATATACCATGTACTAAAATGATGTGTGATCTGGATTCATTCTAGCCACGAAGCCCTATGACATGATATCAATAAAAATCACAAATATCTGAAAAATATCCAAGTTTTATTTGGAATTAAACCCTTCCGTTCCTGTAATGTGCATCAACTCTCAATTATCAGCATGTAGCAAAAGCAATATATCCAGCACTGCACACAATTAGTATTGTATTCAGTGGTTGTATTTGGAAACCGTAATAATGATAGTAGAGATATATGTCTAAAAATATGACAGGGCAGAACCCATTTAAGTTCAAAACATAATGAACTACTGTGTAGAATATAAAATGTTAATTCCTTCTGAAAATGTTACATGATTTGAGTCTAGTTCCTTTTTGTTGAATTTATAGAATGTATGTGATTGTCACCGTTGATACCATTTTCTCCCTTTTTACTAGGTGGCTCCAGCTAAATGATTTTATCATTTTAAAAAAATTACTTTGTGTAACAGTTTTTCAGTTGCAATTTTAAAACCACAGCATATGAAGATGCATAAGATAAAATTATGACAGCTACGTTGCTTATTTCAGTTGCGTAACTAGACATGTCTGGTCATTGTAGTCAAAATGGATTTGTTTATTTTATTTTATTTTATTTTATTATTTTATTTTATTTTATTTTATTTTATTTTATTTTATTTTATTTTATTATTTTATTTTATTTCTATACCGCCCTTCTCCCGAAGGACTCAGGGCGGAGTGCAGCCTGATTAAAAGCACAAAGACAGACAAAATTTAAAAATTATTAAAATTATTAAATGATAGGCCCAATTATAAAACCCCAAATTTAAAATCCTATATTTAAAACCAATTAAAATCTTTACATTGATAGCCCAGCCTGGCGGAACAACAAGGTTTTGAGAGCACAGCGAAATACACGTTAATACATTGTTAATGCTCTTAAATCCATTTTATGTTATGAATACTGCTGAAGTTCAGAGATCAGCACTGTGGAAGCTTAGACCGTTGGTCTTTTTATGAGTATATGATCGACTATGGTTTACAGGATTTTCAGCCTGTGTTTCTACCCCTTAGATAACAGAGAACTGATCCATTTTCTTTTACCTTTGGCCAAAATCATTCTTGTCCAAGCAGATTTCTGCCTCTTTTAATATTTTCCCTCTTTTTTTGTGTCCTTATAAATTCTCTCCCTTGTCTATAATATGTTCTGAGAATTTAGGAGGTTGTAGGAGCAAATTGCTCTATTTATTCACCTTTTGTGGACCTGTTTCCATCAATGAAACGCGTTAATTGGATGCCATCCTTTCATTTGTATCTGTTTCTTGTACATTTATTTGTTCAATAACACTACATTATTAATATATGTAAAATAATGGTAAGGATAGTGTTCCCGAACAGTTCTTCTTCCCTTTAAATAGGCGTGGAACATGTAATGTCTGGGAGTGATCCAGGTTAATGTATCAGCAGTGTGATTGTTTACCCAGTGTAATTCTAAATCAAATACAGTATTGTTGATTTGTATTCTGATAGTCTCCTAGACTTCAGCTTTTCAGTAAGCTGTCTCAATTGTGTTGTGAGTGCCTGTAGTAACACGATGCTTTCATCACTCAGTTGTGTTTACTCAGGAAGGATAAATTAATTGAATACTGGACAAAGTGTTACTTGACATTGCTTTAACATTTATTTAAGCTTAATATTGGAAGTTGGCAAGAGTGAAAATGAAGTACGAAGGGTTCATGACACTTAAAGGCCACTTAACTTTTTAAAAGGCTCATATTCAGTTTTCTCCACTGTCAAAATGCACAAATTATGTATTATGAGGGCTAGGGCCATTAGATGAAACTAGTAATGGTCAGGGAAATTAGACTTGTCAGAAGTCTTTCAGGATTTGTTGAGATGTACAAAGGAATTTTACATAGGCATTTAAAAGGAAATTGTTAGTATTCCTATAAATTTATTGTGTTGTTTTGGTTTGACTTGTATTAATGTTAAAGCAATAGGGAGCAAGTGGAATAGTTACAAGTGTGAGACAAATATAGTGAAGTCATGGGAGGCAGCCATTTTAGGGTTTATTTATTAAATTTATATGTTGCCCACTTCACTGTTCAGGGTGACTCTGGAAGGTTTACAATAGGCATTTATAGGCACAGGATTTCTGGGTTCAGCCTTGTTGCCTACTTATCTTGCCCCACGAGTTCAACAAAATTTATCATCCACTAATGGTTCCTGAATTTTTGCTGCAATAGTTGGTGGCTGTCCATATTTCTGTAATCTAAATACGGTAACTCAAAAGCAGGGCCCCAGATAGGAGCCCCTGTGGAAGAGAATTGAGGAAGGCAGGAGTAAACCAGTGAGGAAAAAGATATTACTTACTCTTCCTCCTCCTCCTCCTTCCCTCCTTGGGAAAAGAGAACGGGCATTCTCATCTGCAAAAATCTGAATGAGCACTTGATTTTAGAAGGCCAGATATGGCGATCCATCTTTTTCCTTTTTCCCATTCACCCTCCTGAAGTTGCTGAAGAGGAGCCCTTAATGCCTAGGTATTGTTGCTATCATAGGTGAACCCTGTTTGAGATGTTTGACTGGAGGCCCTGAGCACTACACTTATAGGTTATAACCTAAACTTTAACAAAGAAAAAAAAAGAGTATTATTTTGTTTAGCTGTACTGGCTTCAACATGAAAACTTTCTTTTTTTTGAAATGTCCTTCAGGTGTCACTGAACGTTTTTCAGCTGAGATGCCAGATAAAACACCAGAGAATAAAGAAACTTTAACCAAGAATGAAGGTCAGTATTGTTTTGTTTTCCTCTTGAATAATCCTATTCAGGTTTTTTAAAGGACAGATAACATCCCTGTTTGTAAATGTAGTTGAAACATATAATCCTTGTCACATTTCTTTGATCAAGGTTACTTTGTAGACTTAGAACTGCAAAGTTTCCATGAAAGAATAGCAATAGAAGAAGATAATTCAACCAAATACTAGTTGGCTAAGGACATACTAACGTCTAATCTTCACTATATGAGAGAGGGGTAGTTATGATATTGTAATGATGCATATTTATACATTTTTGGCATCAGAGCCATATTTTTAGGTGATCCAATTTTATACCAATCACAGTTAATTCAAAAGAGTTCAATCCCACAGAAGTGGATTAGAGTAGCAAACTGAACAACAGTGGAGGCATTATAGAATAATTGTTTATCTATTTTTCAAAACTGAGTTTTGAAAACCAAATATAATAAAATAATTGGAAAAAATATTTTTACAAGGTTAATCTAAAATTTGTGATATCACCATCTTCTAAAAGATATGCAGTCATAACAAAGAATATAATTCAAAATATTTAGATGCTACATACAATTATGGTGTTTAACTTATAGTATGCTTTGTTATATTATTCTTACCTTATCATACCTAATGCTAATGTTCATGAGCCATTGTAATTTGGCTATCCTGCCAGGTATAAGTATAGATCTTTCTGAAGGAAGATGCTGTGTCTGCAACCACTCTCTGCAAAGTGATGAGTTTCAGGTATAAATTATTTGTCAATTTAAAACCACTTAGTCTTCCTAAAAATGTCATAAAATACACCTTTTCTTTTCTTAGATCATTTTTTTAAAAACGATATAACTGACTGAAATAGGAGAGCTTAATAAAATGAGTAACCAACTGACCTTTTTCCAAGTTTGTTTGTTTTAAAATTAAGCTTTGAGTAATTTATCTAATTGTGCTCTTTTACATTACCTCTTTTACCTTGAAAAACTGTTGAAAGATAAGCAGGACTTTAGGCAAGGCATTTTTGGGACAAGGTATTTAAAATATTTCCGAGAAGAATGAGAATGTAGATATTAATATATTATGGTGACAGTTCTGTAGAAGTCTGACTGTTATCATGAACTTTACTTAATTGTTGTCCAATAACTTCAGTCATCCTTCTATTTCCTTTGCTACCATCTTTATCATATTGTGAAAATATGACAAGCATAAATTTGTCCTCAGATTCCATAACATTCCCAAGTCTCGCATTCTGCAGATACAGATCCCAGAATTCTAGGACCTATATTATTTGGAAAATCACTTTTTTATGCGCTTATAATGTATTTCCTAAAATTACCATGTTTCCCCAAAAATAAGACCGGGTCTTATACTAATTTTTGATCCAAAAGACGCATGTGTCTGTGTGGCTGCCGATCTTAACTGGGGCATATTTTTGGAGTAGGGCTAATATTACTAGCTTCCTGAAAAGTCATGCTAGGGCTTATTTTCTGGTTGGGTCTTATTTTCAGGGAAACATGGCATTACTTTCAAATGCTTGAAAGAATAGTTGGGGAACCACTTAGAAAAAATTCAGTGTCTAAGGTTTTTTCTTCTTCTGTCTAGGAAAATTATTTGGAAAATTGAAGGGTAGAAGAATATGTCCAGCCATTTAACTTTTTCAGTAATTTTTTGCTGCTAAATATTTAAACTAGAGAGGTATTTCAGAATTTGTTTTTTCTCCCTAAATATTATAAATTTACTTTTTAAAATTCAGACAAAAAAATGGTCCTAGGTTCTCCACATACACTATGACTAATGAAAATAAAATAGCTTCGAACCACAACTTGAATTGCTTGTTTCTACTAAGCATAGACAAATTTAATCACAGTTTAAGGTTTAGATTACATTGTGATTAATAATTACAGGAAACAGAAATATTCAGTCTCTTCCCAAAGGTTCTTTTTTGAAAAGGCAACTGGACTTTTTTTTTTCTTTGAAAATGTTTCCCTTCTCATCCATGAAGCCTCTTCAGAACAAAAAAGCACCTTTGGGACCACCGAAACCTAGATAATTGGGAATCTCCATACACATCCAGTCTTTTCCTTACAGCAGAAGATGGAGGAGTGTGTAAGTGTATGTAAATTCAAGGCTTATGATGTTCTTATAACATGAAATCATGACCTTACAACTGTATATGAACCAACACTGAAGTTTTATTCATTGGCTAGGCTTACACACCATTTTCAGCAGTGGTTTATTTTTACTGTGGTTTATTGAACAAAAGATCATAGTGACCTTTTCAATCATTACTATAAGCCATGAACAATGATCTACAAATCACAATAGATGGCTTTAAACATTAAATTGAGCTGAAATGAAACAAACCTCTTTGTGACTTAGTATGTTCTGTGACTCTGGCTATTGCTTCAGCAGATTATTTATGGCAGTTTTGTAATCAGTTTTGAAGAAAGTGAATTTCATTTCTTAAAGCTACATCTAACTCCATGACCAAAAAATACCATTTTAAAGAATGTTGTGGTTTATACTCTTTTTACCCAATCATGCAGGTTAAAATTTTCAGTGAACAACAGCAAAACAAATAGAATTAGTTAAAAGATAAGCCTTAAGTTGAGGGTTTTTAGATGGGGCATATTGTTTTTCTCCTGCCTTCCCACATAAAATCCTTTTGATCAATAAGAATAATCCATAATTCTTAACTTAGTTTATTATATCCCTTCAGAAGTGAGATGCACACATGAAGCATAAGTAGGAAATGTTTTAGAGAAATCAATATACCCAGTCTCTGGCATATGAGACACCTTACGTGAGTCTTCAAGGGATCATAAATGGATAAAAACAAGACTTGATTTACTCCAGTCCTTCTTAACATAAAATATACTCAATTTAGCTAGAGTTCTGGGATTTCTCTTCACTAGAATCTCCCCCCCCTTTTAAATATTGGCTGGTTGTTTCACATGCTCATACATAAATACAATCCAACGGTAATAATGATGGCTACTTTTTTAAAAAAAATCCTATTTCTTTAATCACCTTAGCAATTAGTTTATAACATTCTGTCCAAATTAAAAAGTAAGCTATATATAAGGCTAAATGAAACTTAAGGTAAAGGTTCCCCTTTCACATATGCGCTAGTCGTTCCCGACTCTAGGGAACTTAATGAATGAATGAAACTTTAAAGAAAAATTAAGGCCTTGTTCAATTTTAACATTGATTCATTGTGTAAATAATGAATTAAATCCAGACCATACAGAATCATATTGCCTATTCTGGAAGTACAAATCAAACTTGAAGACTGAAATTTAATTAATTTTGGATCGAAATCCCAAGCATTCTTCCATCACTATCTAATCATCTTATGTAATTAGTAATCCTTATTCTGAAAAATTGCCTTTCACATATTCTAGAAAATGCAAGTTATTGAATGGAGTAAAAGCTCAATTACTAAGCAAGTTAAATTATAACAAAATGTGCAAATATTAAAATCTAGATTTTTTTAAAAAAAAGTTTAGTTTTCAGCATTCTATCATAAATTTGCACACAAGATCCTCAAAGTTGGAGTTATGATTTCTCATCTCCAAGAAGCCAAAACTGTGCATACATTTCATTTATAGTGTAATAGTTCCAGGACATTTGATTGCTGGTGTAATTTATGCCTTGTGGGTGCAAGTATAAAATGACATGGTAATGGAAGCCCAATTTTAAGCTAACACAAAATGGATTTATGACATGGCCCTTCATAAGGGCATCTTTTTGCATTTTGACCCATTTTTTTACTTTTGTTTGAGCAGCTTCTATTACAGCAGGAAATCCTGATCTGTTTTCCTGGTATGGTTTGCTGCCAAGCTGTTTCCTCCACAGCTGGCTAATTTTGGGATGTAGTAATGTTTGCTAACAAGCCATTCTTATTCTTCTGGTAAATCTCTTTTTTTCTTCTTATTTTAGCGCTTGATTTTTTCAAAGTTTTCAAGGCATCTGAATAAATCATTTTAGCAATTTTCCCCTTTTCCCTTATTCTTCCTGAACAGCTGCAGGGGATAAATTTATCCAAATTCTTTGTATTCCCCCCCCTTCCCGGTTTTTAATTTTTTCCCTTTCCCTTCCTCTCTCGTTTCTTTTCCTTTCCCTCAAACGTAGGTCATGATTTTATTTTAGGATGCATGCTGTCAAATGCTACAGTTGCAAGGTAAAATCTGTGCCAATAAAAATGCACACTTTAAAGGCACACTTTAAATTTAAGAACTTTTAAGAATACATACTATGAAGCTGAAAGAAAATGAAAGCACACATTTACTTCAGATACCTTCTTTTCAAAAAAACCTCCTGACAGACTGAAGTAGATGGCTGCTTATGTAAGAACAGAAAAGTAATGTGTAACAAAGAGTCTCTATAATAAAAATATAACATACACTAATATAATGGTGTGTTAATTATCTTTACAAATGTAAATCTACAATATTACAATCTATGAAGTAGAAATACATATCTCCTAAAACAAGATAGCTAGTACATAAAAGCCCTGAAGTGATTGATAAAACAGAAGTGGCCAGTTATGCCTTATTTTCATAATGGCAACACAGAATTTGGCTACTGCACAAGTGAAAAAGGGTTTTCAGGTATTCTAAGATAACTCATATAAAAATTGTCCTGATCTTCCTGTACATTTACTTATTAGGAGCATATTATAAGCAGACCTAATACCCCTGCAGAATTTATAGTATAATAATACATGCAAAGCAGTAGTAGGTTGCCCCCGGTTCGGACCAGTTTGCAAGAACCAGTAGTAAAACTGGCAGGAGGCCCCGCCCACTGCCCCGGATGTTGTCATCGGCGATCTGCGCATGCGCAGATGCCATTACGAACCAGTAGTAAAGGTAAGTAGAACCATCCCCGGATGCAAAGTTGTTTCAATACTTTGTCACTACATGGGCCAGAGCACAGCGTAAACATTGAGCACAGAAGCTGATATTGTCATCAATTATTCAATTGTCTTTCTTTTCCTGGAGGTAT